ATAAATTAATTTATTCAATTTATATGCTCCGTATCTGGCCTGGAGGCAACCTAGGACGTACCCTGACTTGGCTAAGAGAGGTTACTCTGTGAGGCCTCAGCCATCTCGTTCTTAGCCCTTAGACTTATAGACCACAATTCCTTCCAGTTCTCTCTATAAGCAGTTTACAGAGTCAGGTTCCCCCCCTCCAAAACAAAACAAAAAATCTGGGTCCTTGTTTTAGCAACCTCAGATGGAAAGATGAGTCAATCTTGAGCCGATCAGGATCGAACTGCCGACAGTGGGGCAGAGTAGTGGATCACACTCAGTGTTGGGATTCAGCCGGTTCGCACCTATTCGGGAGAACCGGTTGGTAACTTTCTAAGCAGTTCGGAGAACCGGTTGTTGGAAGAAATCTTATTTTATTTTTTTCCCCACTTCGCAGGGCTAATCCTGTAAGGAAGGCAGGAAGGAAGGAGACATTCTGGTGTTGTTTCTAGCCTCATCTTTATTGCCCTGCTTACAGAAACTGCCTCTCCGGTTAACCCGGCAGCTACGGTAAAGCGGCCATCGACGTGAGTGATGAGTTGGCCACGCCCACCCAGTCACATGACCACCGAGCCCCGCCTACCCAGATGGCCATTAGGGCAGAGAACCGGTTGTTAAATTATTTGAATCCCACCACTGATCCCACTGTAACCACTGTGCCCCCAGGAAGGAAAAGTGGGGGTTGGGGGCTGGGAATTGACATAGAAGGGTCTCCAGTCCAGTGAATGAAGGGTCTCACCTGGTACCCCAGAGCATTCTGGGAGTTTCCCAGCCAAGGAAACCCCAGAGCTTTCTGCCTCTTAAGTCGGAAGAATCTCACTCGGGCAGAAGAACTGAATTCCAGGTAGTCCTTGCCATACGACACAGTTGAGCCGTTGTTAAGTGAACCTGGCTTCCCCCCTTCACTTTCCTTGCCAGAAGGTCGCAGAACACAGGGGCCCGGGGGACACTGCGACCGTTGTAAATACGAGTCAATTGCCGAGCCTCTGAATTTTGACCGCGGGGGATGCCGCAACGGTCGTTCAGTGGGAAAAATAATAAATCAGTCCCTTTTTTTTCAGTGCCCTCGCAACTCCAGATGTTCACTAAAGGAAACGTCATAAGTCAAGGACTCCACCTGTCTATTTCCCAGCTGTTCTGTTCCTTAACTCTCTTCCTCAGATCCGAGCCGATTATGGTGCCCAATTTCTTCCTCCCTCCACAACATCTGGAGGTCTCCATGAGGCTTCTCAGCGCTTCCCCCTCCCCCCTGGTGGCTGCTCATAAAGTAAGTATTATTATTTTAATTGTTTTATAACTGATAAGCCACCCAGAGAGCCTTTATAGGAGATCTGGGCGATATAAACGACTAATTCCCAGAACACTGTCATATTACCTAGACTCTTTTACTATTATTCGTCTCTTCCTCCCAAGTACCCACCTCTTCTATCCACTTATGACTTATCATAATATTATCACTTATGACGTTATCACTGGAGGTTTTTAAAAAAGAGACTGGACCACGATTTGTCTGCAGTGGTATAATAGGGTCTCCTGCTTGAGCATGGGGTTGGACTAGAAGACCTCCAAGGTCCCTTCCAGCTCTGTTCTGATTGATTGTCCAATAATAGTTGCTCTAGAATAGGCTACCATCTGGAAAACCCAAGTGCTCATCTCCCTACAGGAAGGGAGGGACCCTTTCTGAGGATGGGGATCCATCAGGATCTGAATCAGGAGTGTCCAAACTTGCATGGCTGACTGGGGGATTCTGGGAGTCAAAATCCACAGATCTTAAAAGCCGTAAATCGAAACGCCTGTTGCAAATGGAGGATGTTTCCACCTTCCTGTTCTTTTGTAGTTTGCTGTCCCTGTCAGGGATCTTGAGTCAGGAGAAGTTAATGGCTCCCTGGTCTTGGCCATTCCTCCGAGGACTATTTCGGGTTTTTAAGCCAAGCGAGATGTTCCCCGTCTTTTGCCAAAGCTCTTTATAGAGTCTCCAGAGGTCAGGAGGTGACTCTTCAATTTGGAAGTGACAGACCGGACGTCCCTCGCCTGAGTGAAACCGACTCCAGTGTTCTTGGATTGATGAGGTCAGCATGGAGAACTTTGGGAGAAAGGCTATTTTTTTTTTAAAACCTCCATTTTTTGGCA